AGAAGGGGTGCTGGGGTTCGAAGCCAGGTTCTCTGATTCCAACACTAACTAATGTTCCCACCTTCTTTTTTTTTTTAAAGATTTTATTTATTTAGTTGAGAGAGAGAATGAGATAGAGAGAGCATGAGAGGGGGGAGGGTCAGAGGGAGAAGCAGACTCCCTGCCGAGCAGGGAGCCCGATGCAGGACTCGATCCCAGGACTCCAGGATCATGACCTGAGCCGAAGGCAGTCGCTTAACCAACTGAGCCACCCAGGCGCCCTGCTCCCACCTTCTTATTTTGGTGCCGGCCACACTGGGATTCCTGGCTTTCCCCCTTTATTGACTGTGTGAGTTAGGATCCATTATACAACCTTTCCATCTCCAGTGTTCTCACCAGTAAAACGGGAACCGATAGTGATACCTACCTCGGGGAATATCGTGAGGCTTAGGTGGAGTAACACATGCAGATGTCTTAGAATCATGGTAAGCACACAGTTGGTGCTCAACATGTATTGTCTGTTAGTAATGTGGTGATGATGATCGGTCTCAGGGGATTCAGCATCCTCCTGGCTGGATTGGACCCAAGCAGAGTGAACAAAAGGTGGCGCCATTTCCCAGCAGGCTCTGTCCCCTGCTGGAGCGCCGTGATGATCATGGCCCTCTGGAGAGAGCCATTCCTAGCCTGTCTGAAGCCTTTCAGATGCCCAGAGCAAGAGACGGGAAGGGGTCTGGGTTTTCCCCTCTGTTAGTACCTAGTATGCAATCATGCCCTCATGTCAGCTTGATTGCCCAAGGTTTCCGTGAGCACCTACTGTGTGCCCAGGTCTGGGCTGGTCGCTGCTGCCATCCCTCGAGGAGCCTGTGGCCACACTAGGGAGTGGCAGCAGAGCGGAGCGTTGGAGAAACATGGATCCTGGAGCCAGACTGTCAGGACTCCCATCCCTTGCCGGCTGTGTGCCCCTGAGCAAGTTCCTGAAATGTCCAGAGTCCCAGTTTTCTCATCTGTACACCGAGGAGGATAATAATAAAGTATTTCCCATCCAGTTGTTCATGTTTAGTGGTGTGATATGTGTGAGCACTTAGACCAGAGCCTGTCACATAGTAAGTGACCCTTCTAACATGTCTGCACCCGAGGTAACAATCACCAGGATTAATTTTCAATTATTGAAAAGGATCACATAGGCCTCTCTGGGCCTCAGTTTCTCCATCTGCTTATTGTATTGTTATTAAATGAGAAGAGATGCTCTCTGAGGGTCCTTCCAGCTGCGTGAGTCTCACAATCAAATATGTAATCCGTAAGACACATTTACCCGATGCGTACTTACTGAGCACCTGCTCCATGCCTGCTTCTGCTGTGGTAGGAACACAACAGTGAGGCTTCTGCCCCCTTTGGGGGGCTCACAGGCTGGTTGGAGGAAGATAAAGTGACCTGGCAGCTAAGTGCAGGGGACTGCGAGAGCAGAGAGCTGACATTCAGAGTAAGCTTTCCTGAGGAAGGGTCCTGAAGGATGAGTAGGAGTTCACCAGATGAAGAGAAGAAGGATGAAGGGGGGGAGCAAGTGTTCTCAGGAATGGAAGCAGCCTGGGTACAAGCCCCAGGGGTGGAAATAGTAGGGCACACATGGGGATCTGGAAATTTCTGCCTGTCTGGAGGGCTGGTTTGCTTTAAGACCCAAGGGGTGGCAGGGGCTAGATCATGAGGTCATATGCATAGCGTAATAATGCCTTTCGATGTTATCCTCCAGGCATGGGAAAGACACTGAGGAGGCTTCCGCAGAGGGTCAAGATCACATTTACTGGGGGTAATCTCTGGGGAAGGCTTTCTGAAGCAGGTTGGGTGTAAGAAGGAAAACTTACTTTCAAGGTTAGTATCCAGCTGGACACTCTAGGAACATCACGCCAGTTGTTAAAGTTTTTAAATATTCTGGTTTATACCAGTTTGTAACCAGCAGCCGCCCTGAGCTCCCTACGTGCTCCCCACCTCCCTTTACTGCCCTGTACACCTGGCCTCTTGCCCAGGAGACGGACTTCTCCAGGACCCGGCAACTCTACGGTGGTTAACCGCCTGGCATGCCGCTTCCGCTGGTCGGTGCCCACCCCCTACAGCAGTGGCTCCATATGTTTAATATCACTCTGCCGCATTCATCTTAGTCAGTCTTCCAGTTCCAAGAAAGCACTGGAGAACATCAGATAGAGCAGGACCAGCTCAGGAAACCTGGGTCTTATCCATTCCTTGCCCTCTTCCTGCAGGGTACGCAGGGGAGCCTGGAATGCCCACTAGGGCCCATCCTGCATGGCTGACACAGGCTTGGGAATCGGGCCAACCTGGGGTCTAGAGCACTTTCTGGCTATGTGGCGCTCCCTGTCTGTTTAGTGGACATAACAGTACCAGCCCTTAGGTTTGTTTTCGGGAATAAATTAAATCGTACCTTTAAAAGTCCTAGCACTCATAGGGCGCCTGGGTGGCTCAGTTGGTTAAGCGACTGCTTTCGGCTCAGGCCATGATCCTGGAGTCCCAGGATCAAGTCCCGCATCAGGCTCCCTGCTCGGCAGGGAGTCTGCTTCTCCCTCTGACCCTCCCGTCTCATCCCCTCTCTCTCTATCTCATTCTCTCTCTCAAATAAATAAATAAAATCTTAAAAAAAAAAAATCCTAGCACTCATAGATGTTAGGTTGTTAAAAATGTATTTATTTGCTTATCTTGGAATATGCCTACTATATGCACATTGGGAAGATCTAAAAGGGTGTCAGTCAGAGTCCTGGCATGAAGGGGTATATTCAGAGAATTCAACTGCAGACAGTTTCATGAAGCTACTGGGTTTTCCCCCCCAAATTTATTGAGCTGTAATTGACACATAACACTCTGTACAATGTGTTGATATGACTCACTTATATATTACAAAATGATTACCACCCTAGCATTAGCTAACACCTCCTTTGTGTCACATAATTACCAGTTCTTTGTGGTGTTAATATTTAAGACTATTCTCTTTGTATCTTTTAAGTATATAATACGGTATACTTACCTGTAATCACCATGCTGTATATTAGGTCCCCAGAACTTATTCATCTTCTAACTAGAAGTTCGTACCCTGTGGGCAGCAAACTAACAAGGGATGTTGAGCTACCCAGGGCCAGCGATGATGGGAAGCCACTAGTGTCCTGGGTCTGAAGGGCCAGAGGAGGAAGTGGTATTATACTAGAGTCAGTGGGTGCAGGCTGTGGAGGAGAGAGCCCTCTGGAAGAGGGACAGGGAATAAATACCCTGACCGCTCCATCCTCCAGCTCTTGGCTGGTGCCCCCATGGGCCAGAGCCAGCTGGGAGCCAGAGAGCAAGGGCACTGTGGATGCAGACCGTGGAGGACAGTCTCCCAGGGCACGGAGCAGGGTGGAGGATGATGTGCTGGGGCAGGGGGAGGAGATGGGGCATGCAGCTCAGAGGGGGTGTGTGTGGATATCTCCCTCCTTTCCACCTCCTCCCCAGCCATCTAGTTTCCATCCCAGTAGGCAGCCTGTATGACCAATTTCATACCTATCCTTCCAGAAAGAGCCCATATACAGAGGAGCAAACACACTTGTTTGTCTGCACGAGCGTTGCATACAATATCCAGTAATTTACACCTTGCTCTGTAACTTGGCATATCAGGATTCACTCTGTCCTAAAGATCTATCTCATTCTTAGTACTGGCTGCATCAAGTCCTTCAACTGGCCATACCATAACTTAGGTTAACCAGTTCCCCACTGCTAGCTTTGGGGTTGTCTCCAGTCTTGGGATTACAAACCGTGTTCCCATAAATGCCTTTGGACATGCGTCATTTTGAGCCTGTTGGCCAGATGCCCCAAAGCGGGATCACTGGCATAGAAAAAAATGTCGATGCCAAATTTCTAAAGGAAAACGCTGAGCCATTTGAAATGATGAATGCGAACATACAGAAACACAGAATTATTTCAGTGAAAAATCTATAGTAGCGGAAGCTAACACTCCTCTAGTACTCACTCTGGGCGCCGCTGCTCTGTGTAGGAATTCCTTGAATTCTCATAGCAACCCTAGGAGGTGGTAAGGGGTCTCCCCACCCAATTTCAACATGTGGCGGGGGAGAGGGGTTGTGGTTCTCCCCCAAGGCCCCAAGCAGTTCACCAACACCAGCTGGAGGTCTGAAAATTCAACTCAATTCTGACATTATCTACTGGGAGATAGCATCAGATCCCACAAGTTAGGGGTTCAGTCCTACAAGAGGTCCCCCAGTGCCATTTGCAAGTCCAGAGTGTCACCTGGGCTCCTGACTGGCTAGCTGTAGTGAGAAGTTTCCAACAACCCCCTCTGAGTTCAATTAATTTGCTAGAGTGGCTCACCGAACTCAGAGAAACCATTTCCTTATTACTAGATGATTAGTTGATTATAAAAGGATCTAACTCAGAAGCAACTAGATGGAAGAGCTGTGTAGGAGAAGATAGGGTGAAGGGCGCACAGCTTCTGTGCCTTTTCTAAGTGTGACACTTTTCCTGGACGTTCACCTATTCACCAACCCAGAAGCTCTCCAAACACCGTCCTTTTGGGTTCTTATGGAGGTTTCATCATATCTGCATGATTGATTAAACCATCGGCCATTGGTGATTGATTCAACCTCCAGCCCCTCTTCCTTCCCCTGAAATCATGGGGTGGGACTGAGAGTTCCAACCCTCCCTTCTTGGTCGGTTCCCCTGGCAACAAGCCTCCATCCTTAGGGGCTTTCCCAAAGTCACCTCATTATCATAAACTCAGTTGTATTGGAAAGCAGTTTGTTATGACTATCAAGACACCCATTTCGTTTTTATGGCTCTGAAGTGATTTTAGGAACTGGGGACAAGAGACCAAATATTCATTTTCTTTCTTTCTTTCTTTCTTTCTTTCTTTCTTTCTTTCTTTCTTTCTTTCTTTCTTTCTTTCTTTCTTTCTTTCTTTCTCTTTCTTTCTTTCTTTCTTTCTTTCTTTCTTTCTTTCTTTCTTTCTTTCTTTCTTTCTTTCTTTCTTTCGACAGAGAGAGAGCGACAGCAGGAACACAAGCAGGGGGAGTGGGAGAGGGAGAAGCAGGCTTCCCACTGAGCGGGGAGCCCGATGCGGGGCTCGATCCCAGGACACTGGGATCATGACCTGAGCCGAAGGCAGACGCCTAACGACTGAGCCACCCAGGCGCCCCAAGAGACCAAATATTCTAACAAAAGATGCTCCTATTGCTCTTATCAGGAAATTCCAAGAGTTCCGGAAACCGCAAGACAGGAACCAAGGACGAAGGCCAAGTATATAAGAGACATATATTTTGGTCATCTGAATGACTAAATATGTACAGTCGGCCCCTGATTAACATGTGTTTGAACTGCATGGGTCCACTTAAATACACGGATTCTTTTCAATAGATACAGTATAGTACTGTAAATGTGTTTTCTTATAACCTTTCCTTTTCTCTAGCTTACTTTATTGTAAGAATACAGTATATACACCTATACAAAATAGGTGTTGATCAACTGTTTATGTTATGAGTAAGGCTTCCAATCAACACAGGCTATTAGTAGTTAAGTTTGTGGGGAATCAGAGTTATACTTGGATTTTTGACTGTGAGGGGGGTTCTGAAGTTCTCTGCCAGCTCATGCGGAAGAGGGCTCCCTGCTGGCGACTAGGCTCCAGGTGGGACTGCAGGGCAGTCCTGTGTGGGGAAGGGGTGTGAGGCCTGAGGTCCCCGCCCTGTCATGGCATTAGTCACCGAAGTGCAGCCAGACTTCAGTCATATGTAATCAGCCGGGCAGTTCCCAGGCCCCGGCAGACTAGCCTTTCTTTGGGGAAGTAGGGTTATCACTGCTCGTAACCACTAGCCCTGGGCCCTCTCAGACGGCAGGGCTCACACCGTCCCTGCGGGAAGAGGCTGGGTGGCAGCCACTGGGCCCTTCTGGAAAGTGGGCGTGAACTGAGGCAACACAGGGGACGCGTGGGTCAGCAAAGGCATTGCTGCCAGAAGGCCCTGGTAGCATGTTCCAGCTGGCTCTGGCACTCACCAGCTATGAGCCTCGGGCAAATGATTTTCTGAGCCTGCGTTTCTTCCCCCGTAAAGTGAGTTGTCTTGAGGATGACATGAGATCACACAAGTTGTCTTAGTTCCCAGTTGCTGCCATAACAACCTTCCACAAATGTGGGGCCTTAAGACAACACGGGTTTATTCTTTTATGCTTCTGGAGGTCAGAAGTCTGAAATCAGTCTCCCCACACTATAGCCAAGGTCAGCAGGGCTGGTTCCTTCTGGAGGCTCCAGGGGCTAATCCCATTCCCTGACTTTTTCAGTCTCTAGTAGCCGCCCCTGCCCCTCCTCTGTTTTCACATCACACCTCACCAGACTCTTCTTCTGTCATCTCCTCACCTTCTCCTCTCCCGCCATCCCATCTCCCTCTGCCTCCTCTTCTAAGGCCACGCATGATCACATTTAGGGCCTCCCTGGATAATCCAGGATAATCCCCGCTTCTCAAGGTCCTTAATCACATCTGCAAAGCTCCTTTTGCCATATAAGGTCACATTCACAGGTTCCAGGGATTAGGACTGGGATATCTTTGGGAACATTATTCAGCCGACTGCATAGGTCAAGTGTCTGGCACATAATTAGCACTCAGTAAACAGCAACTCTTACTACTTTGCCTCTGCCTTCTTGGCGGGGGAGGGGGGAGGTCTCGCACACCTGCTCACATGTAGAGGAGACTTTCCAGCAGGCCTGGAGGCTCCCCTTTAAGAAGGGGAGAAAGGTCGCTATAAAAATGTGATCTGGAAGAGGTCACCTCCATGGCCTGGGGATTTCAGGCTGGGTTTCCAAGGTGGGGAGGTTCTCTAGGGCCTGAGGATGTGGCACAGCCCCCCCCCCCCTTCAACTAGAACAAAACCATTTTATCGAAAATTTTCAAACTCTTGCATAGAGCCTGCTATATGCTATCCCTGTTCCAAATGCTTTACTACAGTAATTCACTCTATAATCCCAACCACCCAGTGAGGGCGGGGCTATTCGTGTCCCCATTTTACAGATGGAAAAACTCAGTAATAAAAATACAAAAACCCAATTTAAAAAAGACAAAGGATCCAAATAGACATTTCTCCTCAAAAGATATACAGATGGCCATGAAGCCCATGAATCGATGCTCAACATCATTAGCCATCTGAGAAGTGCAATTCAAAACCATATTGGGATGGCACCTCACAAACCACTAGTATGAATAAAATTTAAAAGATGGGTCTAATGGGGAAACAGGAGCCTTCATATGTTATGGGGGGGATGTCAAATGGTGCAGGAACTTTGGACCCAGCCTGGCAGTTCCTCACCTGGGACATGGAGTTACCATATGACCCAGAAATTCTACTCTTAGGTGTGCACCCAAGAGAAATGAAAACATACAACCACACAAAAACTTGTGCACAAATGTCCATAGCAACCAAGCGGTGGGAACAACCCAAACGTCCCCCAGCTGAGGCACAGGTGAGCTCAGTCTGGTTTTTGCACATGGTGGAATATGTCTGGCAGTAGGGAGGAATGAAGGACGGACACGTGCTACCACATGGGTGGACCTTGAGACAGGGTTCGGATGACATGTCCTTCTACAAGAACGCATATTTATATCCCAATTTGTGGGCAGTCCATAGAATTCCGAAGGGAATTGCTGGTCAGCATTGTTATAATAGTAACAAAAACCATGATAATGAAAGCTAATATTTGTTAAATGCTCATTTCAGACTCTCAGTAGCATAGTGAAGTATTATTATCCCCATTTCACAGTTGAGGAAACTGAGACCAGGGAGGAGATGTCAGATACGTCGAATGTGGTGGGACTCTTATTTGGACTTGAGTGTCTGCCCTTAACCCCTCTGGGGAGGGGCTTCCCAGCAGGCGCTTAGCCCAGTTTGCCAAATGAAGTCCTGTGGGGGGGTCAGGAGGAGGCTCCCCCATCAGTCAGGACTCCCTGACTCTGCCCTTGCCTACATGCTTGGGGGGTGGGGAGCTTTCTTCCAGGGAGCTCTCTGGGGGGGGGCAGTCTGAACACCCCAGCTGTGGTTCCTGCTCGTGATTACTCTGACCATGATTGTTCTGGAGGAAATGGCCATGGCCAGCCAGAGCTGTGGGCGAGGGGCTATTTTGGGAGAGGGCAGGGCAGTGGCATCTGAAGCATCCCCCACCGCAGGAAGACATTTGGCAGCATTGTCCCTGTCCGCCATCTCTGTGGCCTCCAGAGAGGCTAGCAGAAGTTGGAGCTGGGGACTCTCATTATCCGCCTCTGTCCTCCACACACAGCAGGCTTTCTTGTTCTGAAGATTTTTGTTTTCCTTTTAAAAATGAAAAAATCATTTTAATTTTTATTTAACAAATCAGTGACATGTAGTCCATCCAGGACTTTTAGTCTTCTCCAAAAAAGTGTGCTTATTTATTTTATTAACAACCACTATATGCACTTCCTGTGTCCTGGCCCCCGCTCCAAGGGCCAGATGACTGGTCATTCATTACATCATTTCTCCGATAGGTGCTGTTATTACCCTCATGTTACAGATGAGGAGATCGGGGTTCAGGGAGCTCAGACTTGCCGAAGGGTGTAAGGGGCAGAGCTAGGACCCCACACCCAAGCTACCCAACTGGAGTTTCCCCCTCTTAGATGCTCTACCAAGCAGTTTTGAGGCTTTGCTCTGTGCCGCTGTTCATCACTGGTTTTCAGGGATGTCCTGTGGTTGACTTGGCAGGGCTGCGTTAGGCTTTGAGTTCCTCGGGTGGCTGCTGGGTCCTAATCATCGCCATCCCTGGTCCCAGCACATGGAGGACTTGGCCCAGAGTCAGTGGGAGGAGCGTGACAGCTTGGTGTAATGGGTAAGAGCTTGGGCCGATTCACTTTTCTAGCTGTGTGACCTTGAAAAAGGGACTCCACTTCTCTGAGGTCATTTGTGTTAAGGTGACACAGAGCTGGGCACAAAGAACTCAACAAATAACAGATTAATATTGTTTTAATAGTAGTAGTAGAAGAGACAGTTATTGAGTGAATGCATTAAAACAGAGGTCAGCAGGGGCGCCTGGGTGGCTCAGATGGTTAAGCGTCTGCCTTCGGCTCAGGTCATGATCCCAGGGTCCTGGGATCAAGCCCCACATCAGGCTCCCACCTCAGCGAGGAGCCTGCTTCTCCCTCTGCCTCTCTCCCTGCTCATGCTTTCTCTCTCTCTGTATCTCTGTGTCTCAAATGAGCAAATAAAATCTAAAAAAAGAAAAAAACGGGTCAGCAAACTGTTTCTGTAAATGACCAGATGGTAAATATTTTTGGCCTTGCAGGTCACACAGTCTATGTGGCAACTACTTACTCTAGACAATGTGTCAACAAATGGGTGTGGCTGGGTTCCAATAAAACTTTATTTATATGGACACTGAAATCTGAATTTCATGTAATTTTCATGTGTCAGAAGATATTACTCTTGTTTTTTTTTTCATTCAACCCTTCAAAAATATATAACCCAGGCTTAGCTCACGTGATAGAGCAGGGAACAGTGGGCGAGATGTGGCCTCCTGCTGCTGCAGTTCCCACCCCTGCACTAGAACGCAAGCTCTGCAAGGGGCTTTGGGATGCTTGGTTTGCTCTGGTACCCACAGTACTCAGAACAGTGCCTAGCACACAGTAGGCTCTCCAGAAAGTTGTTAAATGAATGAATCAATATGTAGAAGTGGGTCTTGAGCTGGCCCTTTAAGACTGGGAGGGTGGACGGAGGGGAAGGAGTGTTCCAGGTCCGGGAACAGCCCGAGTGAAGGCATGGAGTCAGGGGTAAGTCCAGCGGGCATCCCCTTTGGCCCGTGAAGCCATCAGTGTGTGGTGGAGGGGGCCGGGCAGCACGCCCCCCCCGCCCCACTGGAAGCCGCAGTTAGGGGCCTGGCGGTGGGGGAAAGAGGCTGGGGTAGGGGGGGTGCTCTCAGAAGTGGTTCTGTCCTGTTATCGCCCTGCCCCTAACCCAGAACCACCAGGCTTATTTTTAACCCTGCTGACAAAGATAATCCGAATGAAATCAAGAAGAGTGACTGCTCCTTGCCCCTCCCACTGCCCCAGTTTCTGCTGCTTTCCTTTCCTGAAGGTCAGAGCCATCCTCGGAGACCCTCCCCCAGCGGCCTCAGCCAGGACACAGGGAGCATTTCCCTAGCAGGACCTGAACTCAGAGAGGGATCCTGGTGCTTGAGGAGAAACACTCGAAGCTCCTCCGGGAGTTGGGCAGGCTGGGAGCTGCCCAACATAGAGCTGGTTTCTCTGTCTGTCAGCACAAGCTTCTCAAACTGCCAGGAGGGTGGGCGGCTCGGGAGGGCTTGTAACACACAGATTCCTGGGCTCCTCCCCAGGGTCTGACTCCGGTCTGGACTGGAGCCTGAGAACCTGCATTTCCGACGAGCTCCCTGGTGATGAAGGGGCCAGGAGGGTGATGGGCCACACTGTGTGGCCCTGGCCTAGGAGAGCCTCTGGGCAACAGCGGAGGGGGGGGGCCACCCTCACTGTGTGAGCTGCCCCAGGCTGCGCCCTGAAGGCCGCTGGTGATACACCCATCTGGACGGCCCAGCCCGAGGATCCGGAGAGCCTGGAAGGCTGTGTTAAGTGCCCTGGGCTTGATTTTGAGCGTGTTAGGAAGCCTTGCAAAGATTTTAAGCAAGAGTTGAGGCCGCTGGACACCTAGACAAAGCCAGCCCCCGCCTACTGCGATCAGTTGTAGGGAGCCTGTCGGGGGCTTGGAGGAGCAGTGACGGAAGGAGGGAGAGGCTGCAGATGCTGGAGCTACAGCAGGAGTAGGAGAAGGGACCTGGTGAGTCATGGCCTTGGCTGCGGCAAGGAGACCAGGAGGAGGGTGCGGGAGGACACTGGGGTGCCTGGCTCCGAGGCTGGGAGCCATTTGTGAGACCAGAGACTTGGGGGAGCGCTGGTAAGGGGTTCCATCGGCCAGACTGACGGACACAGGAAGGGGAGCGGGCTTCCTTTGAACACAGCAGCCCGCATTGCCTTGGGCTGTGTGGCCTCCCCTTGCTTCACCCCTGTTCTGGCTGCTCTGGGCTGGGGGGGCCACAGTTGACCCCCCCAATTCTTCTGGGGCTCTGTGTGCAGGCTGCTGCTCTGGCCTTAGGAAGAGTCCTGCCACAAGCTTCCCAGGCCAGGAAACAAGCAAGTGCCATCCAGCTGGTGTTACCAAAAAAGGACATTTTCCCCCTTTGAAGGTTTGCCCAGCCCTTTTCCTTCTCCCCCCGACCTGGGGTTTCAGGTTTCCAGGGAACTGTTTCTGCAAAGTGTAGGACTTTGAATCACACGCATCTGTGTGCAGGCAAATATGATATGTATGTACCACACTCCGTCTTGATGTCATAAACCTCATCTTCCTCCTTTTCCTCCTCCTCCACCACCATCACCTCCACTCACCACCTCCTCCTCCACCACCATGAACTCCACTCACCACCTCCTCCTCCACCACCACCACCTCCTCCACCACCGTCACTACCATCACCACCTCCTCCTCCACCACCATGACCTCCACCCACCACCTCCTCCTCCACCACCATCACCTCCACTCACCACCTCCTCCTCCACCACCACCTCCTCCACCACCACCATCACCTCCACCCACCACCTCCTCCTCCACCACCATCACCTCCACTCACCACCTCCTCCTCCACCACCACCACCACCTCCTCCTCCACCACCATCACCTCCACCCACCACCTCCTCCTCCACCACCATCACCACCATCACCACCACCTCCACTCAGTCCCATCCTGGCCTAAACGCTTTCATATGCTGCCTCTTAAATTGTTAGTTTTCACCGCTGCTCCAAGAGGGGAGAATTACGACCTCCATTGTTCAGATGAAGAAACCGGGCACAGAGAGGCAGAGCCATTCACCCACAGTCCTAGAGTCGCCGTGGGGTTGGGACTCGGGTGACGCGGGCAAGGTCATGCAAAAGCGCAGGGTCGGATCCAGGCTTTATTTAAATTTTGTTCATAGCCCACCCTAGCGCCAGCCTTGGCAGAGCCAAAGTTGGAATCCAAAGCTGGGCTCTGGACTAGTCCCTGTGCTGCCCCTCTCCTTATACCTGTGTGTGTGCGTGAGCTTATTTACGTATTCTTTTTTTTTTTTTTAAGTAAACTCTGCACCCAATGTGGGGCTCGAACTCATGACCCTGAGATCAAGAGTCCCATGCTCTACTGACTAATCCAGCCAGGCGCCCCACGTTTGTGTCTTCTTTCCTTCAGTGACAATAATTATGGCAAGGTGGCATTGTGGAGGGCAGGGCTTGGGAAGCAGACGGTTCTGGATCTGACCTCTACTGCTCATTATTGAGGGTATAGCCTGTGGTTCAAGGCACAGACCCTGGAGCCAAGAAGGCCTTCGTTTGAAATCTCGTTCTGCCACTTGCTGACTGTGTAAGGTTGTGTTAGTTCCTTAAAACCTCGTGCCCTGCAGTTCTCATCTGTAAAGAGGGACAGTGGTATCAACATCTGCTACCCAGCGTTACTGGGGGAATCAAATGAGTTCATTTCTGTCAAGCCCATGGCAAGTAGTAAATGCTTTATAAGTGTTAACTGTCATTTTTCATCCTTGAGGAGATACTTCTCTGAGCCTCAGTTTCCCCATGTGTGAAGGATGAACAGGAAGAACCACCTCCCAGGCTGTTCTGAGGATTGAAGGGGATAACGTAGGCAAAAGTCCTCTCCTGTGGAAGGAGCTTAATAAAAGCTCTCTCCCTTATTTCAGGCCCAATTCTATATGCTGGAGACTGAGATACAAAGATACACGTCAACTCCCCAAGGCATTAACTCATCTGCAGCGTGGACCCTGAGTTGACCTTTCAGTTCCCCAAAGGCACCGAACTCTTACTCTCTCTCCTCTCCCTGCCTTGCTGTCCCCACCTCTCCTGTTATGGGTCTAACTTCTGTTTGTCTTCATGTCAGCTTAACTGTCACATTCTCAAAGAAACCTTCCCTGACCCCACCCTGCCACCGACCTGTGTTGCCTTCCTGCTCTACGTGGTCACTGCCTTCTCGACTCTTCCTTCATGGCACTTCTCACAATTGCAATTGAGGACCTTTTATTTAATCACCTTTTATTAAAAACGTTCTGTTGTTTGTTTACCACCTTTCACCCTCACTTGACAGTGAGGACAGGGACGGGGTTTGTCTTACCCACGGGAGTCTCTGTCCTCAGCTCCTGGCCAAGGGTGGCACCTTTCCAGAGTTGTTCAAGCTCACAAACTCTGGAGTCATCTTGCCTGGGTTCAAAATCCTAGCTTCTGCCCTTACGCAGCCTGAGACCCAGGGCAAATTATTTCACCTTTCTGTGCCTCATTTCCTTTTCTGCAAAATCGGGAGAATAGTAAGGACACCATCTTTCCTAAGGCGTGATGATGAGTGCATGAGATAATCTGCATGATTCCTTTAGAACAGTGCCTGGCCCATTCATAACGGGGCTATTATTATTTTAGTAGGCGTTCCTGGCTAGACTAACAGCTGAAACAAACATCCCCCAAATCTCAGGTGCTTAACACCACAAACATGTAAGGTTTGCTTAAATGTTCCACACTGACTATTTAAATGTAATGCCTAAATGTTCCACATTCCAGTGTGGGAACTTTGCACTATGCAACAATCATTTCTGGACCCAGGTTCCTTCCGCTGTGTTTCTGTGTCCACGGAGGGGTTCTGTGGATAGAATTCAGGGAGTCTGTGAACTTGGATGCTGTTTTAGGTTAGCTGAGCCTGAGCCTGAGGTGGGGATTTTTTTTTTTTAATTTAAGATTTTATTTATTTATTTGAGACAGAGAGAGCACAGTTGGGGGAGAGGCAGAGGGAGAGGGAGAAGCAGGATCCCTGCTAAGCAGGGAGCAGGACCCTGGGATCATGACCTGAGCCGAGGGCAGACGCTTAACCAACTGAGCTACCCAAGCGCCCTGAGGTGGGGATTCTTGCTCAGATGATTTTTTTGAAGGGACACTCTCGGGAGAGAAGGAGAGTGACAGAAGCAGGGTAGGGCCGGGAAGTAACCAAGCAAGGGTGTGATCTTACCTGCAGTCCTTCTTCAGCCTGGCCCCACGGTGGGGGTTCTGTAGCCTGGCTTGTACCACAGTGCTGGTTCTTCCTGGGGCAAGAGGGGGACTAGTGGGTGTCATCAGGCATTAGTTGTGGGCTACTTGGTTGGAGTGGGGGCGTGGCTTCTGTGGGTGCCGGTCTCTGGGATAGCAGTGAGCATTAGCAGCCTATACAGGAGCTAGGGGTGGGTGCATTTGCCCAGCGAAGTGTTCTGGGCAGGGCACCCAAAGTGTCTTCAACAGATGGAAAAACTATCTTATTTTTACTAACCTATTACTGAAATTTAGCATTTGCTTCAATTATGGAGGTAGGCAATAAACCATAGTAGTATTAGAAACATCTGTGGCTTGGTCACCAGTGGAAATTACATACTTTCATGTCACATTATTATTGTTGCAGATATCTTTTTTTATAAAGATTTTATTTTTTTAAATAATCTCCACAACCAACACGGGGCCCGAACTCATAACCCCAAGATCAAGAGCTTCACGCTGCCCTGCCTGAGCCAGCTAGGCGCCCCTATTGTGGATATCTTTGAAATACCCTTTCTGCTAATCTGTACTTTAAAATTATTGTGGTTAGTTCACTTGCTAGATATTTTGTTCAATACGTTAATGAAGAAAATGCATTATATTACAGATTCGTTCCTGTAGTATTTTGGAAACAGTGTGTCCATATAATTGCATCCCTATGTAATCCTATGTATTTTATGCATTTTAAAACACCATTCTGAGAAGGGGTCCATAAGTGTCACCAGATGCCAAAAGGGTCCGTGACACAAAAGAAGTTCAGTTCCCCATTCTGGGGTGTTGGCCTTCCCTCCGTTCAACCAGCAACAGGGAGAAAGGAGAAGATGTAGAGGATCACACAGGAGGTTTTTATGGGCCAGGCCTGGAAACAGCATACATCATGTCTTCCCACAGTGCACTGGCCAGGACTCAGTCACCTGACCACACTGACTGCAAGGGAGATGTAGTCCATCTGTGTGCCCGGAAGGAAGAGGGAATGGTCTAGGGAATGCACAGCAGTCTGGTCCACAGGGTTCAATACGTCTTCATTGGCAGCCTGAGTGAATGAATGCTGTGTCCGGCGTGTCTTTGGTGGGCAGAGGTCTGGTTTTCTGGAGGGATCCTGAGTCTCTACCATGTTGTCTCTTCAGGACAAGCCACGCCAAGGCCAAAGCTGAGGCAGCGGAACAGGCCGCCCTCGCTGCCAACCAGGAGTCCAACATTGCCCGCACTTTGGCCAGGGAGCTGGCTCCGGATTTCTACCAGCCAGGTAGGGCCAGCCTGGGAGGGGACGGGCAGGACAGGGTGAGGGCAGGCCCCCCAGGGTTGGACCACTTTTCTTTTTGTTTGGTTGCTGGAAAGCTGAGGTGCCCAAGTGAGTTCACAAATGTCCGTGAGTTCAAGCAACTAGGGGGCGGTATGGTGAAAGCTTGGGTGAGAAGCTTGGGAGCGACACTAGGGGACTCATGCTGAGATGGTGGTGGGGGCATCAGAGGCTGCTGGTGGCAGACTGGACCCACCCCAGACTGCACACAGGGCTGACAGTTGAGCTGATGAAGCTTAGCAAATGGAGAAGTCTCTGTGGATGAGGAGGTAAAAAGCCCCGCTGCTCTTGCTCATCACTTTCAGTCTGGCACTGAGTGCTGCCCACGTGTCAGGCACTGTGCTGGGCTCTGCGTACAAAACCTGGATTCTGGGTTCAGAATCTAAAGGAGCAGAGAGTCATGAAGACAGCCTATCAGGGAGTGAGGCACGTTTTCACGTCCTGACTCCGTGGCTAACCAGCTCAGCGACCTTGTTAAGTTCTTTAACTTCTGTAAACCTCAGTTTTCTGATCTGTAAAATGAGAGTAAGAATAATACTTACTTTTGGGGGGTGGGTCCAATGCATGGCAGGTGGGGAACACATGGCCTAGTCCACAGTGAGCTCTTGATAACTCTTGGCTCTTGTCTCACCGTTATGATTAAATTCTGCACAGCATCAGTTCTGTGTGGCTTGAACAGAGGCTTTGGGAGCTCAGGGGGGCACTTCACCCAGTCAGGCAGGGAGATGTCAGCGAAGGCCGCCCTCAGAAGAGGCCGTTTGAGCCAAATCCTGAAGGCTGAACGAGAGTTCACCAGGTCAGTGGGGCTCAAACATGACACAGCCTGCTGGGCCCACCCCAAGTTTCTGATTCAGTAGGTCAGAATGTGCTTTTCTTTTTCTTTTTCTTGCTCTTTTTAAAAAATATTTTTATTTATTATTTATTTTAGAGATGGGGGGCGGGGAGCAGAGGGAGAGGGACAAGCGGACTCCGTGTTGAATACAGAGCCCGACGCGGGGTTTAATCCCAGGACCCCGAGATCATGACCTGAGCCTCCGACTTGGAGGACTAACCGATTGAGCCACGCAGGCGCCCCTGAATGTGCTTCTCTAACAAGGATCAGGCAACGCGGATGCCGCTGGTTTGGGACCACTCACTGCGAATCACGGCCCCACGCGGTGCTATGTGGGCGGCGCAAACCAGGGGGGAGGGAGTGCAGGTGCAAAGGCACAGAAACTTGGAGCCGAGTGGCAGGCTCGGAGGTTAGAAAGCAACACAGGCAGGAACTGGTGGGAAAAGAGGCTGCAGAGCAAGAAGGACCCTGCCTCTGATAGAGACTTGGGGGGGGGGGGGGATAGAGAGCAGGGGGAGTCCAGGGGGTGGGAGATTGCTGTTCTCCGCTCTGAAGGGTTTTATGGTAAGTGGCATGATTAGACTTGTGTCTTCTAAATGTTATCCTGGCTGTAGCAGGGACACCACAGGGGACCGGTCCGGGGACGGTGGAGCACAGATGTGTACCTGGGGGCTAGGTTGCCTCCGGGCACAGCGTTCCCCCTGCTGGTCCCAGGAAAAGCGACATTTTGCGACACTTCCCGGCGGGCCTCCACCTTGGGTGGTCATAGCAACAGCTGTCACCATGTGCCAGGCGCTGAGCTCCGCACTTTTCATGCGTTTTTTTCCATTAACCCTTCCGTTAGTATTTATGAAATAGGTACGATTAGGCCATTTTTCTGACAAGGGAATGGAAGGAAACCAGTGTCACGGTGAAGAGCATAAACTCCGGAGCCAGTCGGACTGGGTGCTGGTCCTGGCTCTGCCCTTTGTCAGCTGGGTGACTTTGGGCAAGTGATGTCACCTCTCTGAGCCTCCCTTTCTTCCTCTGGACACATGAGGCCAATAATAGCATGGACCTCAGAGGTAGGGCTGTTAAAAGGCTACAATGAGCTCCTCTTTGGAAACTGCTGGACATAGTGCTGGGCCCACGCTAGACGGTAGGAAGGTGCCGGCTGGAGATAAAGCAGGCCGCGCGGCGTTAAGCGGCTCGCCCAGGGCCACCGGTGGTGGGACCCGGGTTCGAGGCCAGCCTCGCTGGTTGTCCCCCGCAGGACCGGAGTATCAGAAGCGCCGGCTGCTGCAGGAGATCCTGGAGAACTCGGAGAGCCTGCTCGAGCCCCCGGAGCGGGGCCCCGGGGCGGCGGGGCCCCCGGCGCGGTCCCGCGAGAGCCCGCAGATGCACGAGCGCGAGCCCCTGGGGCCCGAGGGCGGCCCCCCGTCGCCGACCGGGACGCCCCCGCAGCCCAAGCGGCCCCGCCCGGGGGCGACCAGGGACCGCCTGGCGAGCCCGGGCGCCTGGAACGGGGAGCCGGGCGCCGAGGGCCGCCGGCCGCTCACGCCGTCCGAGGGCGCGGGCCGCCGCAGCCCCGCGCGGCCGGCCGCCGAGCACATGGCCATCGAGGCGCTGCAGCCGCCGCCCGCGCCCGCGCCGGAGCCCGAGGTGGCGCTGTACCGGGGCTACCACAGCTACGCCGTGCGCACCGCGCCGCCCGCGCCGCCGCCCTTCGAGGACGAGCCCGAGGCCCCCGAGGCCCCCGAGGCCCCCGGGCCCGACTCCGCGCCGCCGTCGCCGGCCGCCGCCCCGCCGCGGGCCCCCGAGCTCGCGCCCGGGGCCCCGGCCAAGCTGGAGCCCAAGCCCATCGTCCCCAAAGCCGAGCCCAAGGCCAAGGCCCGCAAGACGGAGGCCCGAGGGCTGAGCAAGGCGGGGGCCAAGAAGAAGGCTCGGAAGGAGACGGCGCAGGCAGCCGAGGCCGCCGTGGAGGTGGACGAGGTGAGGCTGGGGGCGGGAGGACGTGTCCCAGCTCGGGTCCCCCGGGGCTGGTTGGGCTCGAGGCGGCATTCCGGGGCGGATGACTTGGGCGTGCGGAGGGTGATGGCACAGGATGGAGCAGGGGAAAACCCCGCAGGGATGTGGGCTTAGTCAAGGGTAGCCTGAGCAGGACTTGGTAGCCTCAATCACAGTGCAGAGTCCGCCCACCTTGGGGCAGGGGGCAGGCCTTTGTGCCTGCGACCAGGTCAGCAGGGGCAGTGCTTTGGAGAAGGGGGTGCTGGGAGCCCTAAGCAGGTTGGCGGCGCGGTGGGGGGGGGGGGTAGTGAGTGCACCTGGGGAACCAGAGCGATCTGAGCTGAGCACCAGTAGCATCTGCTACAAGGTGTGGTAGCAGGGAGGGCTTCCTGGCAGTGGAGGAAAGACCCAGTGGGGCTTATTAGAGCGGGCTGGGAGCTGGAAACTCAGGGACCGCGAGTGAGGCAAGGTTGTGTGGGACCAATGGATGCCGTCCAGGGGGGGATTAGCAGAAAGGAAGGCATGTTCTGGCTTCCAGGCCCAGCGCTGCCCACTGTGTGCGTTGGGACACATCCTTGCCCCTCTCTGGACCCTGTATGGTTTGGTTAATCATTTCCCAGAATCCTTCCAGCTCTGATGGTCTGCTGTCCAGGTGCTGGACACAGCAGTGGGCAAAACGAGGGGTGCTCTCAGGAGGGTTCTTTCAGAAGTTCCTGCTCCTCTGTCCAGCCTTGTTGGGTCTTGGGTGGGTGGTGTTTCAGAGGCCATGGGAACTCAGCTTCTCTCCACTGCTCCCAGGTCCCCAACACCGTCCTCATCTGCATGGTGATCCTGCTTAACATCGGCCTGGCCATCCTCTTCGTTCACCTCCTGACCTGACCCTTGTCTACCAGGTGCGTCCCCTGGGGGGGGGGGGAGGGGAGGAAGGGGAGCCTGTAGAGAGCTCTGGGCACCAGGGAGATGGAGGAAGGTTGTTATCTACTGGGCATCTGTCCTGTGGCTAATTGAGGCCCGGCCCCCAGCAGAGGCAGGGACGACGGATTTGTGGATTTGATAGATCATGCCTTCCCCAACACACACACACACACCCCTTGTTAGCTCAACATGTGCAGAGCACCTGCTCCCTGTCAGGTGAGCCCTGGGGGCTTCACTCACTCACTCATTCATCATTCATTCATTCATTTGACCACCATTTACTGAGCAGATGCTCTGCTGGGATCTAGGGATACATCAGGGACCCACTCCTGCCCTAAGAAATGGGGTGAAGATGAGAGTAAACCCTTAACTTACAGCTCATTATGCAGAAGTCGGGCATCCAGAGGTGCGGCAAAACAGCCTCTCCCAGACTCCCACAGTCTCACCTGAGCTTGCCTGAGATGGGCAGACCCTCTTCTCTCGGCCCTCCCTTTCTCTTTTGCCCACTTCAGTCTGTAATCCCTCTGCCCCTGGCCTCCCCATCCCCCAGTCCTCCCTTCCAGAAACCCCCGCTGTCAGTCAGTCAGTGTCCCATGCTGGAGCTGGGAGGGCTTGGTAAGACCGGTGAAAAAGAGCTGGGCTGGGCTATGCTGGGCTGAAGGAGAGTGGCTCTCATGGGTCTCAGGGTGAAGTATCCACAAGACAAAATCTTTTCCCTGTTAGGACCAGCCTTCACACCATAAATCCTGTGCTTGGTGATGCTAACAGTTTCTGCGACCTGCCCTGCCCCCAACCAAAGACCCCCGCCCCCCTCCTCAATCCCAGCTTGGTGTGGGTTGGAGGTTCCTACTCAGTCCCAGGACAGGAGAAGAACTCCCTGTGCAGTCACCCAATAAATAGCCAGTGACAATATTAGCCTGGTAGGTGGTGTCCTGGGGGTGAGCGCTGGGCTCTGCTGGGTCCTCTGTTTCACAGGGGATCTGGGTGTGTTGGCTGCAGGAACTGACACTTTATGACCCGAAGGATGGAAGCGTGAACGAAATGACAGGAGGAGGAGGGCTGGGAAGAGAGTACCAGGCACAGGGACAGCAAGGCTGGGAGAGGCCTCACGGCCTTGACTCTGAACCTGTTGAGTCAGAGCCCAGGGGCAGGGTTGCCCCGGAGGCTGGGAGAGGTGGGTCCTGGCCCCAGAGAACATCAAGCCTGAGGCTTG